TTAGCGTAGCATTGATCACGAAGCGACCTAAAAATTTATTTCTTAGTTATAATATTTATACACACTATGAATGATAATGAATCATATATTTTAATTAAATATATGATTGAAAATATAGTTGAAAATGAAAATGGCCCAGAACTCTCCTTTTCTAACTACTAATGAGCAAATATCGTCATTTTCTAACTACTTATAAATGTTTGGAGTTTGCTCCATGTCTGGAAGTTAGCTATCTCAAACACCAAAAAATGCTGGATCCGCCCCTGATATATATATATATATATATATATATATATATATATATATATATATATATATATATATATATATATATATATATATATATATATATATATATATATATATATATATATATATATATATATATATATATTGCCTAGTTTCCTAGAGAATTCTACTTATCAAGTTTACACTTATCCTGAAAAAACAATAGAATATATTGATCCTTTGTTAGTTTCTTCATTGTGAACAAGCAGCAGTGTTCCTTATTACGTTAAAGCTGAAGTAATTGTTTCTGTTAACAATATTTCATAATCATTAGTTTCCTATATTGCAGCGCTCGAAATAGTTTTTCAAAGTTTGCCAATCAAATGTAATTATTTCACAAAAATAGGTTTTCCTTGAATTTTTCAAAATTTCTTCAAAAATTGCTGATCATTGATCGGCTGTTATTTCGAGCGATGATATTGGTAATGCTGCTTTATCAGTTTTCAATGACATTAGAGCGGATTCCACTCTATTATTGTTTAAGAGTAAGTTTGAAAGTAGTGTTATACATTGCAATGAGCCACTCAAGTTTCTTGACACATTATATAAACAAGATAAACACTTAGAAAAAAATTATCTTTTTTTAACTTCTGAAACATGCAACATGGGCCCTTCTAGATATGAAACTAATGAGGGAATTTCAAAGACAGTTTCATTTCATTGAAGAGGTATCAAGTAATATTACATTGCATGATGGCTTTAACACTTGCAAACAAAACATTTTGTTACTAGCAAGAGATTCAATGTTCAAAAATACTTTGTCAGAAGACTAATATAATGGAGGTATATATATATGTCTACTACCCTAAGTGGGGAGAATGAATAAATAAGAACTTTATAGCTTAAATAAGAATTTTTTAACATAATTGTCAATCTGCATAAGTATTAAGCTGCTGCAACTTGACTATGTGCCAATTTGCAAAAGTGCGAAGTTTCTCTTTCTCATCTTATTCCATTTATTAGTTCCTTATGTAATATACCCTTTTAATCCAAAAGAATGTTTTTTTATAATCTACCTATAAAGGTTTATAAGTATATACAAGTTATTCCCTGATTTATATTTATTTTTATTTGGAAGATGCAACTTTGCTTGCATTTAAGGCGCTCCCTTTTCTTATGATAGCACCTCCACAGAAGGGCAAGAAGAGTCCAAGAATTTGGCTTTATTTTATAGAGAAATGGATGTAAGTTTTTTCTATGCATTTTTTTTTAAAGTTAAATTTGGTTTATAATCAAAAAGTATTACTTTTTTGAGCTTTGAATTTTCTGCATTTTTAAAATTTTACTTAAACATTTAGGTACACCTCAGTCTTGAAAGCTCCCTTGAGTTATTGAAGAAGGAGAAAGTTTTTCTACTGATTTTATTCAAGTGTTGCGGCACTCTATTTATAATTTAAATTATAACTCTAATTTTAAGTCGATAATACAGCTATACGGTTGGAAGCCATACCGAGTATTAGATTTGCTTTTGAGTTGCTGCTAGTCTCTTATTATGTATTTAATGTCAATTTTCCTCATGAACTTATTTGTGTATATGGATTTATGGGAAATTTGCTTGGAATAAACAACAAAAGAATTATCGTCAATTCCTTTTAAAGAAAGTATTGCCAAAAGTTTAAGATTAAATTAAGCAATATGTTTGTGAAACGAAAAAGTATTTTTATCACTTTCTTGTTTATTTTTGTTATATCGTCAGCGGAGAACCAAGAGGCCGTATGTCTTTTTTTTGTGTTTCCAAGAAAATCAAGTTTCAAATTTTAATTTGCGAAATCTTTCTTCCAGAAAATTCGACTGATTATTTAAATATTGCTTAAAATTTTATTGTTGTGGTATATTTATGGAACACACACTCCTGAATATTTATTGATAATGGACAAAAAAAACAACACAAAATGTTGATATTCGGTTCTTCTCTGACGGCGGTATCTATTTTTCAAAGTTTTAACTCGCTTTTGCATATAAATGTTCTAAGACTTGTTTTTAATTTAATATTCACTGAATTGAGTTTATATACTTAACTGAGTTTATATACTTAAAAGAAATACTATAACAATGCATTGACTCGGAATTAAAATAAAATTTATATTTCAGTTTTAATTATTTTATTGTGATATCGTTCCGTTATTTCTTGTAAGCCAATATAATATACATGTGTAATTTAGTATATGACTCTAAATAACAATGTGTAATTTAGTATATGATATAAATAGCATTCTTTATTTGAATTATTTAATTGCGCCCGGTTATATACATAGTGCGTGAAGGCCTAAATGGGCGGAATAAATCACGCATAAATATACTTACAATAAATCAAAACATTTATAACGTCTAAAAAACACAGATTAGTGTATAAACTATAGTGTTGCATTTAGCGCAATACTAATTTTGAGGTTTTTTTACAACAGCTTTGTCGTCCAAAAAGAGCGTATATATACAGCCATTGATTAAATGCAACAATTATGTCGAAAAAATTTCTACAAAAGTGTCGCATTAAAGGCCACAAAGTGTGGCTTTCAAGTCTACACTTTATGTAGCCTTACGAATGCAACACTGAGTGTGGCTTTTAAAGCCACATAGTGTTGGTGTAGCCGGCGTCGACACTCATTGTTGTATTCTATATATACTCTGTTGTATTTTAAGCGTGTATTAAACACACGGCATTAAAAATTCGTTAGTAATTTTTTACATAATTTCATACTTACCTGTATGAAAACATTTTTTAGCGTTATGAACATGCCACCACCTATGTATTGGGCAGAGTTTAATGTTAGTAGCATCACAAGAATGCATAGAAAACAATATTCAAATTGATTCGCCCATGTTTGTGAAAGATGATACAATTAGGAATGTAATTGTTAGTGTAGATGGTACACGGCAGACACGCGGATATTCATGCTTGAATGGTGTGGTGACTCTTGTTTCTAATGGTAAATGTATCAATACCCAAACATTGCTCAAAAAATGTAAAGGATGCAAATTCTGGGAGTCAAAAAATGAATCTCCAGTCTATCATATTTGGCATGCTTCACATAACTGTAATATTAACCATAAAGGAAGTACTGGAACAATGGAGTCAGCTGATGCGCTTACAATGTTTAAACGTTCTGTCAGTATAAACAGATTATGATACAAAAAATAACAGAAAAGGTTTTGATGATAAGAATAATAAAGAGGAGGGTGACATTTATGGAAAAGGAGAGTTTTAAATCATTTAAATATACATTTTTTATATTTACATTACATTTTTCTTTATTTACTGTTTTTACAAACTGTCTTTTGTAATTTTTTGTCGAAGACTGTGAATTATGTACTCAATTGTTTGTTTTAAAATTTTGCACAAATTTTAGATTATTGTTTACGTTCTGACATTACCAAAAAAATTTAATTTAATTATTACATGAGTTATTTTTAGAAATTTGCCCTTATTTATAATTAATTAAAAATCAAAAATGTCTTTAGGCATTATGGGTAAAATATTTATAAAATGATATTTTTTTAAATGTCAGAACGTGCTACTCATTTACATCATTTTGTTTAACAATTTTGAGCTTTTAGATATTTATTGCTCAAAAGTTATTCCTGACAGAAGATTACCCCTTTTTTGCCCGAAAAGGGCTAATTATACGAACAATTAATTTTTTTTAATATAAAAAAAAAATAAAAGTATCTATATTGTTTTTTTTTTTTTTGAGTACTACACCAGAAAAATATAATTTTAAATCAGGTTATTGAAATTAATTTTTTTAAAGATGTACCACCTTTATTATAACTTTATAACTTTTATTCAAAACTTTGTTTAAAACTCTTTCATTTTACGGCAAAAATAAAAAATATATAAAAAACTGTTTTTTTTACTTTAATTTTTAGTGCCAAAAATTTGACATACTATGTCAAAATAAGTCCAAGTATGAAAATGTAGTCGGTAAATAGTGAACTGCGAACCACGAACTGCCAGCCGGTAAAATGTGAACTTTTTTGTAAACCATGGCCATGGTTTCCTAATGATGTAATATTTTTTATTTGCGGTTTCCCGTTAAATTACTCATTTTGCTATATATTCTAAGGACTTCAAGCAAAAACATAAATTATACTTAATTTAAAAGAAATACTATCTAACTTTAAAAAAATATATCAAAATCCATTACATTAATTTTAAATAAAAAAAATTGATGAGGGAACGTTTTTTTAATTATAGTGATCATTAAAATTTGATGTCGTGGTTCGCAGAAAAGTTCGCTTTTTACCGGTTCGCTGTTCGCAATTTATTGACTACCGTATTAAAAATGTTAAAACATTCTCTAAACTCTATCTACTTAAAAACATTCTTGCCAATTTTTCAAAACAATTTTTAAATTAAATATTTTAATTGCATTGAAATTTAATAAAAATTCTTTTTATTTAATTTCTTTTGCTTGGTGAGAAGCATGTTGCAAACATTTAAAATGCCAAAAATATTTATACTTATGTCAATCGATTTTTTTTTTTTCGGCAATAGACAAGCAATATACACAATTAGTTCATAAAACTTTACCATCTTGTCTATTAACAATTTTTCTGAATAGTTACATTTGAATCGCCAACCAAGCGTGTCTAACTAAAACAGTATAAGTTGTTCTTGTTTACGCCTTTTGTAAATGCGCAAAAACTGTATTACACCTGCCGGTTTGATCTGTTTAAACGCCTTTTATAACTATAGTAACGCCGTGTTGGACAATCTTTCTCTGTGCTATGTGATTATATAAAATTAATTTTGTTTGAATATAGCGACATGTAAAAGAGACTACATTTATATATAATAATAAATAAACAAATATATTACATATTTCATTACTGTCAATATAATATTACTAAAAATAAAATTTTTGGAATAAGTAAGATGAAAATTGGAGTCGTTATATTATTATCCTTGCTTGTAAATATTGAATCTAAAAGAAAGCACCATAGAAGAAGACACAAGCTTACTGCCAATAACGAGGCTAGCGAAACCGTTCCGTATAACTATGCTTATCCTACTACCTCAGTAGATTCCCATCAACTTACATCCAGCGATGCAAAAGCTGAAAATGATCGTTCTAATGTTCAACCTGATCAACAAAAAATATCATGGAAAAACCACACTATACCTTATTTAAAAGAATACATGGATGAAATTGGTGAAGGAAAAGTCAAACATCATAACTACGAATCTCTAACATGGTTTATGAAGTTTTACGCTGAAGAATACCCTGAGATTGCGAGGATGTATGAGATAGGTAAGGATTTAAAAATTGAGTCCCTTTTTAAATATGATATGATTATATATATAAAAAAAGAGCAGAAAAAAAAATGAAAAGAAAAATGGAAGAAAAAGTGTAATGTACTTATGAATAGTAGAGTGAGTAGGATATAATGGAAGATTTAGAAAATTAAAAATTTAATCTATAAAAGGTAAAACTAAAATGCTACTGCATACCATTATTATCTTTAAAAAAATAAATCAAGCTGTTACAAAATATCATTATTTACTTAAAAAAGGATTAAGCTGCTAGCACATGTCATTATTAACTTCAAGGTTTAAAATTAAGCTGTCGTTACATATCATTACTCACTAATCATTACTTTAAAAGATAGAATTAGGCTGCTACTGCATATCTTTAAATTCACTTTAGAGAATAAAATTTTATGAAAACCTTTATTCTCCGTTAATATCCATAGATTAACTAAGATAGGGAAATGCGGGGGTAGTTGAGCAATTTTTTACTAAATCTAACAGATCTCATTAACGGTGCGTCGGATTTACAAAATTTTTCAACCGTTTAAAAGATAATTTAAAAAAGATAACTTTAATGACGTAAACGCCATTAAATTATATAGAATAAAAATTAAAGAGAAAAATTTAATAGTAAGGAAGCGTCATAAAATATAAAAATATTATTTTATAAAAGTCTTGAACTTTCAAGCCCGATTTATAAATTACTAATTTTAAAAATACATATAAATAATCTTCCACTATTTTTTTATCAAAGTGTTCGAAAGTTAAGTTTTTTTTATTTTTTTCAAAGCTGCTCGACTTTCCGACTAGACTAGGTGACACATTAGTTAGGTTTTAAAAAGAACAGTAAGACATAAAAAAACGGGTAGTTTTAATCGAAAGTCCGATAAATTGTTTAAATATCAACACTTAAGTGATGTCAGATTGAAAAATTTATAAACATCTAAGTAAATAATAGCAAAACTTGTTTTTTTTACTTTTTTGGTGAAAAATAGAAAAAGTGCCCGTGTATTTTACTCAACTGGTTTCCAACAATTTTTTGTTGCGCATTGTGTTAACATTCTAACTCCCTAACTTTCACCCATTAGATGTTTTGTCATGTGATGCGTAGTTTGTGAGGTATTATAATTGCCCAACTTGCCCCTATGCTCAACTAGCCCCTATTCTACCCTACTTTAAAAATAAAATTAATCTGTTACTGCATATCATTTATTTAAAAAAAATAAAACGAAACTGTTCCTGCTTATCATTATTTATTAAAAAAAATAAAACGAAACTGTTCCTGCTTATCATTATTTATTAAAAAAAATAAAACGAAACTGTTCCTGCTTATACATTCAATAAGAAAAAATCGTTGAGTAAAATATTTTTGAAAATTTCCGAACAAATTTGGAAAAAAAGAAAAATACAAGAAATAAATATTTTGTACTTAAGAATATCTAGAAGAGTATGATGTAAAAAAAGATTTATTCACTTTAAATAATAAAATTAAAATCAACAAAAACTAAATCAATAATAAAAACTAAATCAACAAAACTAGAACTGTTATTTAACTATAAAATCAATTCCAAAGTAAAAAATTGCCAAAATAAAAAGATGCCAAAGTAAAAAGTTATATTGCCAAAGGTTTCCATAATAAACATAATCCAAATGAAACTAATCAGTCATGCTTTGTGGCCGTTAAATATGATTTTGCTTTAAAAAAATTTAAATGTATTTTTACATCACCTTATTTTAATAATACACTAAGGTAATCTTGAAACGTATTATCTTTATATTGGTTAATAATTTGTGCCTGAAATTTTCAGGATATACTCAGTATGCTACAGAAATAACAGATCGGGTAACAGATGGAGCTTTAAATATTCTGGTTCAATTCTTTTAAATTTAGAAAGTAGTTCACATGTTCAATTACTAAGAATTTCAAGCAAATTTTTACTCGTGGTTAGAATAAGTTCTTCAATCAAGTATATTTAAGTTTAGAATAAGTTCTTCAATCAAAAATCTATATGTTAACCGGAGTAAACGTTATATTGCACCAATCTACAAAGTTTGATTGATATAACGAAGATTATATGCCACAAAGTTATTTTATTTTAGGCATTTTTAGACACTTTTTCCGCCAATATGGACGTTCTGTAAGCCGTTTGAAAAAAATTTACGTCTAAATATATTTTTTTTCTCATAAGAAAAGTACTAGTCTTTGGTGTTACTCATATTTTTTTATTATAAAGATTCTTTTAGTAGCGTAGTACCTTAAAAAGATTCTTTTAGTAGCGTAGTACCTTAAAAAGATTCTTTTAGTAGCGTAGTACCTTAAAAAGATTCTTTTAGTAGCGTAGTACCTTAAAAAGATTCTTTTAGTAGCGTAGTACCTTAAAAAGATTCTTTTAGTAGCGTAGTACCTTAAAAACATAATAATAAGTAGCGTAGTACCTTAGAATAAAATTTAAAAAAATATGAAAATAATTACTACATATCGCTTTAAAGAATAATATTTAGGGCAAAATCTTCATTATGAGTAAAACCGAAATTTTCTTAACTTTTTCAAAACTAATGATAAAACTTTAAGAAAGAAATGAAAAATTTTATTATAGGAACAACAGTCCAAAATCGAAAAATGTGGGTAATGGAGATCAGTGATAATGTTGGGTTTCATGAACCAGGTGAACCTGAAATGAAATATATTGGAAATGTTCATGGAAACGAAGTAATTGGTAGAGAGATACTTCTTCAACTTATAAAATATTTGTGTGAAAGTTACGGTAAGGACGAAAAAGTAACTGACCTGGTAGACAAAACAAGAATTCATATATTGCCTTCAATGAACCCTGACGGATACGAACTTGCTGCCGCAAGGAAAAAGAGCGAAAGTCCTGATGTTACAGAAGATGTAATCGGACGTTTAAACGCAAATGGAGTTGATTTAAATAGGAATTTCCCAGATCAATTTTTTGAATTGAATACTGAAACATTTGAACCAGAAACAGCTGCTGTTATTTCTTGGATAAAAAAATATCCTTTTACTTTGTCGGCAAGTTTTCACAGCGGAGCACTTGTTGTCACATATCCTTTTGATGACTCTCCCTCAGGTTGGTCGTTATAAACTTTTTCTTCTAAATAATTATTTTTTTACTGCGATTGTTATCGGACTTTAAATAATTAATTTTTAAAGTTATATTTTATTATTAAATCTTTTTTTCTTTATTTTTTATTTTTAATATTATTTATAAATATTTACGTTATGCAAAACTTTAATTGAAACTTACTTTTACACACAAAATGATTTTGATGCATTTCTACATTACGCTATAAATGTCAAGAAACCTTGATAATATGCATTTGTACATTACGCTATAAATGTCAAGAAACCTTGATAATATGCATTTGTACATTACGCTATAAATGTCAAGAAACCTTGAAAGATAACTTCTTTTAATTTTAGTTTAAAAGTAATAAAAATCAAAATCTGTTTCAATAGAAATATGAGCAGTAGTGGCGTTGTGGTAGTGCACTTGCTTCAGAAACAAAGGATCCGTGGATCAAACCCCACATCTAGGCAACTTTTGTGACATCGGTTAGAAAGGAGGCGTGAACTTCCAATTAAATGCTCATCCGCGGACCGTTAGGACTTCTTGGGGCAAAAATGAAAAAATATTAAAATTAGGGGAAATTTTTTTTATTCTATAAAACAGTACGATAAGAAATAAATAGCGGTTCAAAATTAGTTTGGTAGAAAGTTTCATCAATAATTTAACATCAATGTTTTAAACTTACTGAAACAGTTAATGAGGATAGTCGATGGGTGTAAATGTTGCTGATAGAATACCCTTATGAGACATACTCTTTAAATAAAACAAACTATATATGAAAATAGTTTCAAAGTTTTAATTTTTAGAATCTATAAATGTGTGTATTTAATCTAAGTAAATGCATGACCTTTTAACGATTAAGTTAATTTATGTATTGTACGTGAATTATATTTATGTATTGCGTATGAATTATCATTTAAGAAGAAATGTTTAGAAGCAAAACATTTTTAAAGTTTTAATAAAAGTCATTAAAAATTTTTTGTTATAAAATTTGTGTCCCAAAATTAAATAATGGTAGATTTACAAATTTTTATTTAATTTAAAAAAAATTTAAAAATATATTTTATGAGGATGGAATAAAACAAAAGTTTATTGGAAGAAATTGTGAAAATAATGGTAATAATAATAAAAAAAACTAAATTTTTTTTTTGTTCTTATATTTAATATTAGTTTTTCAGTCAATCTTATTTTAAATCTGTAATGCAAAATGTAAAACTTAGTACCATTTAAAAAATAATTATACTAAAATGATGGCATACTGCAGTAAAAGAGTTGATTTAGGAGGAAAAGTAGCAACAAAGAGCTGTTACCTCTTCATAATTGCCGTCTTTTGCCGAGACTTTTATTAAGACTTTAGTCTTGTACCACTTCTTAAAAGTTTTGTAAAAAACTTCTTAAAAAATAAGGTTAGACAAACAAGAGTAAAAAATTAAAACAACAACAAAACAAGAGTAAAAAACTGATTTTTAAAAAATCCAACTCGCCAATGAAATCTATTTATACAATATTCATAAAATTAAACCTCGATATTCGCCCAATTATTGCATAAAATTAATCTTTTGCAATGGGTAGATTATAATATTTTTTTCTGGTTTTAATATATTTTTTTCTTTTCTTTTCTTTTATTTTAACTTATTTCGTTAACTTTATTCTAATTCTTATCAACAGGTCAATCTGCATACAGCGCTACACCTGATGACGATTTATTTCGTCAAATAGCTAAGTCTTATTCTGAAAATCATCCACAAATGCACTTAGCAAATCCAAAAATGAATTGCACACATGCACTAAAACGGTTCACAGACGGTATCAGCAATGGGGCTGCATGGTCTTCACTTAATGGAGGTATGCAAGATTATAACTACGTGCGCTCAAATTGTTATGAAGTAACAGTAGAGTTAGGATGCCATAAGTTTCCAAGAGAAGAAGACCTCGAATCTTATTGGAGAGATAACAAAAAACCATTGATAAAATTTATTGAAATGGTAAGCAAAATTATTCGATATCAAAAACTTTATAAACAGGCTACTTTTTTTAATATTTTAAATTTGTTTCTACATTAATCTTATATGTGGTGTGTATATAGGTTTTGTTTTTGTTTTTTTTTATTTGAATTCACCTCGTCCAGGCCATGAAGGCCACTACAGTTGAGGAGGCTACTTAAGTTGTGTTTAAAACTCTCTGTCAACTCTATAACTCCAAAACACGAACCTTGACAAACAAGTCCGCTGCGCAGAGAAACAAGTTGAGCGCGTTACTAGGGACGTGGTGGGGAACGAAAGGTTTCACGTAAAACAAAGTTTAAACTTTTTATTCTTAATTTAAATTTTAAGGCTAGCAAAGGAATTAAAGGTTTTGTTAAAGATGAAAACGGTAACTCTATAAAAGGAGCACGAATTAGCATTGGTGATAGAAAACACGACATTCGTTCAGCAGAAGATGGTGACTATTGGAGACTTTTAGTACCGGGAACCTACGAAGTTGAATGTCGTGCTAAAGGGTTTCATGCAGTTTCAAAAAATGTTGAGGTAGGAACTGGTGATGCTGTATTTGTAAATTTCACAATGGTTCCAAAAGTGGAAGATGAATTGGAAGCAACTTTAGGACACGTAAATAAGGTAATTTAGTCTGGTTGCTATTTTGTTACGACCTCTATCTTTTTAGTACTACTTTTTATGAAAAATATATTTTTTTATTTTTTGAGAAAAAATTAAGAATATGAGAGTTTAATTTTTTAAAATCTAGGCAACGTTCATTACACACGATGTGATGTATAGATATGATGGTCGAGATTCAGGAAACGCTGTTCCTAAAGAAGTTATAAAAAATGTTGAGGAACAACAAGCCGGGTAAATTAACTAAAGTAATAGCTATGAAAAAATTTATTGTTGAAAGTTTGTGTTTATTGACATTTAGTTGATTTCTTATAATATTTATGATTTTTCAGACGCGAAGGAGTAACAGAAGTACACGAGGCAACAAACAGTGAAGATAGTTTTGGAAGTGGTAGTGGGTTAGACGAGGCAACACAAGCTCAAAAACTTGCAGAATCTTTAGCAATTAATACAGTACCCATATCAAAGTCAATGCGCCATTCGCACGCAGCTAAACGTATTTATGAGCGCGAATATGTTCCAATTCCGAAAGAAAAAAGAGCTAAAATTTCACGTCCTGAAAAAAAGAAAATAAAAGTAGAAAAAAAAAACAAAAAAAGCTCAAAACCTAAAACAACAGCAAAAAATCTGATGGGAATCAAAGGTGCAGCGAATAACACAAACAATACTTCTTCAATTGAAAAACAACAAGATCAAAAAAACGGCAGCAACGCCACTGATAATGAAAATGTTCTAAAGGCCGTTGAGTCTATGTTCCACATTAAACCATCTATTGGAATGCATGTTAGATGCAAAATAACAGGAAAATCAGAACCTATTAAAGGAACTCTTAAGTATATGGGTCATATAAAAAATCTTCCCAAAAAAAGCAATATAATTGTAGCAGGGATTGAACTTGATCACGAAGAAGATTTAGGAACGGACGGTACATTTTTAGGTAAAAGATATTTTATATCTCCAAGTAAAAAAGGTTACTTTGTACCAATGAAAAATTGCAGCCCGGTATAAAAACGCTGTTAGTGTGGTGTAACCATACAATTGTAACTATGTGAAGTTTAATCGTTAGGTGAATATTTGTAAATATTTTATAAAAAAAATACAAAAACATCTTCACACAAAACAATAGTTGATAATCTACAAAAAAAACTATTTATTGATAAGTAAACTCTAGTTATTTGTTAAGTTTTACTTTGTAAATTATCTTCATTCTCAAAAATACAAAAATAAAAGAAAATTATTTACTTAAGAGAAAGGAAACATGTATATTATCATCATATTATATATCGAGCAACTTATTAAAGCTCATTTGAGCGTGTTTGACACGGAACTCTTGGCAGCCATTGCAACCGAGGCAAGAGTCGCAACATTTTTTTTTATAAGAAAAAAAAAGGTGTATGCAAATATCTTATGTAAACTTCAAACTATGTTAAACATACATAAAAATTTGCAGTGTAACTTTTACTTAAAAAGTGCATTGCGGCAATATTTCCTTAGTTTGATTTAATTTAACGACGTTTATTTACCGTTTTCTTTTATTTCTCAAATATTATTATATTCTTTTATTTCTTAAATATTATTAAAGTGTATGTAGTACAATACACCTAAATGGCCGAAGTGGGTAGGTCGCAGCGTTTCTGTCGCAAAGCGCGGTGTTCAAATCCCATCATTTGCACTTTTCTTTTTTAATTTTATTCAATTTTTTAAGATACAAAATAAAACACTTTTGAAGTTCTATATATATTATATAATGAACATATATAAAGATATCATGATTGATTCGCTCTGCCGTCAAACGAAAACAATCGCATCGGTAGTCATGATGAGTCAAAATGAAGTGATAATATTGCAAAGAATAAGAATAAAGAATAAGAATAATAGAATAAAGAATAATAAGAGGAAATCCTTAAAGAATTTTTATAATAATTAAGAATCTTGTAAGACAATCATTATGAAGGCGTTCCAAAAAAAAAGATGTAATTTTTAAATCAGTGAAGAAATATGTACTAACATTTACATCATGTATAATTACGGAACCGTTTCATTTGTTTTTTAATTAAAAATTGATTTGCAATAGACTAGGTTATGCGAGAAAATGGTATGGTTAGCTGTACGAGAGATAAAAAGATTATATCACGTAAAGAAGTAATTATAAAAGAGTTAAAAAAGATTTAATTAAGTGAAGAAGATGTTATAAAAGAATTAAAAAGCATTGAATCACGCAAAGAAGTGGATATAAAAAAACCAAGAATTTGATAGGTATTGATAATAAACGCTCTAAAAACCTGTTATGCTCAAAATTGTTCAAACAACAACATAAAGGACAGTAATGTAAAGATTTATCTTAATCACTTCTTTACTTTTCTCCACTTTTATATGTGAATTCTATACGACATTTTGCATAACTGACAACTGACAAACTAACTGACAAACTGTTTGTAAGCATAGGCGCCCGCAGAAAATTTTCTAAGGGGGGCAAAACATTTTTGTTATTGCTTTTTTTCCTATTATCTATTATGTAAAAATCAAGATATGTAAGATATAAAATAAAGAGAAGAAAAAAATTATGTCCATGGAAAAAAGAAGACAATTTAAATTTGTCAGCACCGTTTTGAAAATGTAGTGTGTAAACTACGAAACATGCTAAGATATCGTGTTTTTCATACAAATAAGCAATTATTTCGGAAAAAACTTAATTAGGTTTTTTCCGAAACTGTAACGAAGTATCACTAAAAGATATTTTTTACAGAAAAATTTAGTAACAAACTTTATGGCATGAAGAACGTTACAAACAAGAAATTTTTTTTCTATATTTAGAAAATACGAAGAGGAGGGGGGGCAAGTGCCCCCTCTTGCCCCCTTGCGGGCGCCCATGTTTGTAAGGAAGTATACTTTTATACGGAGTTGAAGTCATTTAGTTTTAATTATTGCTAAATTTCCACATGCTTATAAATGTACATGCATTATAAACATCATGATATCACAAGTTATCCCGTTCAACGATGCTTAAAACATTTTACTAAAGTAGTTCCTTAATAATTAGCAATAATTTTTTATTTACTAAAGCTCAATTAGGTAACAAAATGTTTGCATTGTTAATTAAACTCTAATAAAGAAAAATAATTTAAAAGATTTTTTTTCTATATTAGAGATTTTTATTTTTAAAGATTTTTTTAATGTTTACGTTTTCAAAAAACTGGGGTCGTCCATATACTACGTCAAGCATTTTTTGACAATTTCCCCCTCCTCCTCTCTCCTTTTTAGAAACTAATCAAAGTTTATAAATAGTAGAAGTCTTACGAATTCCTCCACCTAAAGTTGCGCAATAAGTTTGTTATCTAATTAATGCATTTAATACATATAAATTTTTAATTGCTATTATTTAATAATACTTTGAAAGTCATTATTTGTACGCAGGTACAAATAAAACCCCACAAAATACATTATAAAGCCTGAAAAGAGTCTTGGGAGCAGCTGTTTGCTGAAAATTTATTTTTTAATTCAGTTTGAATTAAAATTGGATTTAGTTTGAATTTAGGCGAGCGTCTGTATGCAATTATAGACAAAGCCTTCCAGATTAAAAAAAATATTTGCCTTTTAGAATGTTTTTGTATGTTATGTGTAATATTATTCCTACAATAATCCTCCTCCATTTATTTTACTTTTTTTTACAAAATTTTTATGTACCGTCTGCCTTGAATTTTTTTTATACATATAGTTTGATTAGATTTTCATGTAGGCGCTGCAAAATAAGCGTTTTAATGAAACAATCTTATTTTGCTGAATATCATGTAGCTGGGATAGTTAAGGTAAAATATTAAATTTTCTTATTTGTTATATAATTGTTAAGGTCAACAGTGATAAATTAGTAAATAATCAAGAAAAAATCTTCTTCAAAAACAGTTTGTAAAACTATAACTCAACAAACTTTTATTCGCATTTTTGGTAAAAAAGTGAATAAATATTCTCCAAACTATGCTTTGTCAGCGCCATTTTTTTGTTACACTCTCCGTATTTTGTTCTTTTTCGAACTCCCTTAATTGATCCCTACTATGCTGAACGGCCAACATTAAATCTTGCTTGTCCTCTTTATTATGAACAGAATTAACAAACTCTGACACAAGCTTAATTGCTCGTTCAGAGCAGTTGTTGACAACATATATTCGGCAAACAAATTCAATGAAAGTTTTAATTTGGTCGATAAAGCCCCAAAAAGCTAAAGGACAGTTCAGCCAAGGTTTATCATCATCTTTACTCAATTTAATAGACTGAAAAAAAAACACGAGTTCCTACCAACCAACTGTAACAAGCTAGGTGGTTTTTCCTGGGTGAAGTCTAGAAGTCTCATAGTGAGTACGAACAGGTTTCGAGAAAAGAACTTTTGCAACAATTTCTTTCTCAATATCTTCGAGTTCTTTATCTGCAAGACATAATGGAATCAAGGTTTGATCCAAATACCACGTATTGCTCTCCAGTTGTAGGGAAAGAATTTCCTGTTCTATGTTTGCCTTAAGTTCTCGGTTTTATTTACATATACTTTGTCTTTAAGATATCTTCAAAGCCATTCGTCTGGTGCTGTCAAATCAGAAGAACGTGGAGGCCATTTAAAATCTGAATTAAGAGAGATTATCCGATCCTGAAACATTGAAGTTTACAACTACATTGTGGCTCTAGCGTTATGTGCAGTTGCTCCATCTAATTGCCACCAATACCCTGCCATGTTTGCTAACTGAGGTTAACCAAAATTTGCTGGCATGTCTCAATATTTCTCAGCAGTTACAGTCACAGCATTTTCATTTAAATCTTCAAAAAAGAAGGGCCCAATAGAGAGCTTTTTTGCATCCCCTCTGAAGACCCCTCATAAAAACTTTTTCACATATTGCCTACGGAAAACATTTTACACCCACCCACGGAAAACTATAGGCAACCCCAAATCCCTTCATGTTAAAAATCTCTCTGATAGGTGGTCAAGTGTTTTTTTAAATACTTGTGGGAGACCAAAGAGAGAAAATCAAAAAAGTTTTTGATTTTCTCTGGGGGGTGGTCTTGGTGAGTTCATATATACATTTTACATTTACGTATTCTGTAAGGCAAAGCAATTGTCTGTCAGCTAAGTATTTTTCAAAAAGTAGTAACAAGCATAATGAAATATCTTTTCGACAAGAAAGAACAAGCAAAATAATTAAATCTGATTGATTTATAAATGCTTTGTGTCTCCAGAGACGGACTGGTCAGGTGAGTTGGGAAAGTTTATCTCCTAACGCAGTAAAAATTAAAAGAATATGAACCAAACATATATAATTGTTATTTGTTACATCGCAGCTAATATATATTAGCTAATATATATATATATATATATATATATATATATATATATATATATATATATATATATATATATATATATATATATATATATATATATATATATATATATATATATATATTACAGTTTTAACTTGTCAGTACCTACTACCAAGAAGTTAATACGTATTAATTACATGTAACTAATATATTGGTATTAACTACTTAGTAGTAGGTACTGATAAGTCAAAACTGCTTACTGTTTGTTTACGAAGGTATACCTATAGCCGTATAGTTTATGGTTTATCTATTAAATAATACGTGAGCCGATAGATTTTGGAACCTCCGTGGTCCAATCAGTCCCTAGCCTGCATTTGGCCTAAAAAGTGCTCAGCTTAAATCTAGTTTTTTAATTTTATATTTGACAGGTTTTTAAAAAGGCATTTGTAACTTGCAATGAGAATACCGGAAAATTTAGGGAACCAGCGGCAAACTCTTCTCATGCTCAAATCAATGGTTTACTGATCTGAAGAATTATTTGCTTGAAGAACACCAAATGAAGGTTTCAGAGTTTCTACTACCATAAAATTCAACTAAAATGCTTAATTTGGAGGAAGCATGGTTTCTATTGGAAGGGGCATTGGGAAAGCTGAAAATAATCACTTCTAAAAGTTAAAATAACGGTTCTTGGCTGAGTACCCGGAGACGGAGTTTCCCAAAAATCTCATTTTATATTTCAGGAGCACAACCTCGTTACAATTTAGACCGTGTGAATCCATCTGACTATGTTTTTGGTAAATACATTGCCGGTTGGATCTCAAGCGACTGTTTTTTATATGTTTGGCTATTGACTTCTATCCATCCGAAAAGAAATATGTTACTTTTTCCATAATTGTTTTAATGGACGGCCATACAACGAGTATAAATGTCAGTGTTGGTGAGTTTTGTCAAAACAATGGAATTGTTTTGCATTTTTTCCCACCTTATGCTTGCCATTTAATGCAACCTCAGAATGTTTCAGTTTATGGGCCGCTCAAAAACATATTGTAACAAAGCTTTGAAAGTTTTCATCAACCAGTTTTCTAACATGGCAATGACCATGGTAAACTTTTTTCGGTGTTTGACATTGCTTGGAAAGAAGCAAAAGATAAACCGAAAAATGATTTTAAGGATTTACAAAATGTGGGCTCATTCCTTTCAATCAAGAAGCGCTTGACTATTCAAAGCCTATCGGTACTTCTACAACAACGCAGCTGTTTTCATCCCCTTTTTTCGTCTTCCTTATTATCCTAAACTGAAATGTTTACTTTCTTGAGATGCTCAGAAAAAAAAATGGAGTCATTATTACCAGAAAATGTTTTGATCGAAGACAAATAAAAGAGGGTCATAAAGTTGAGAGTGAAGCGACTGCTGCTGATCGGGAATGAAATATGTAAAGGTGGTTGCACACTAATTCGAATAAAAACAATATATCCACACTTAAATTGTTACCTGTTGTGATCTAGATGTTTCAACATCACATGCAACTACAATAAAAACTGCAACTACTGCAAAAATGTAAACCTTCAATAATTATACTCCAGGTTTGTATAATGATTAAAAAAAAAAATCAAATTGAAAACAAATAAATAAAAGAAATATACTATTTATTTGTTTTCTAAATTATTACTATGATGTAGATAAAATAACTGGCTGTTCAAATTGACATCCGTACACTCGTGGCCGAGATGTCAATTTGAGCAGCCATAATTCAGATTCCATGATGTTTGCACTAAGCCGTAAATACAGATTCCATGATGTTTGCGGCGAACATTGCTCGAAATTCGCCAAATTACCCTATGACGCGATTATCTACAAGACATGTTTTTAAGAAGCTGTGATTGTTTCATTATTTGTTGTTCTTAAATTTTTTGAAATTATTTTTTCGTCGCGGTTACATTTTATAATGCGCAAACAGAGCGCATTATAAAATTATTACTATTACACTTAATTATGACTATTGCTGTTGTTGTAATTGTTGTTGTTGTTATTGTTGTTGTTTTTGTTGCTGTTGTTGTTGTTGTTATTATTGTTGTTGTTGCTGTTGTTGTTGTTGTTGTTGTTGTTGTTGTTGTTGTTGTTGTTGTTGTTGTTGTTGTTGTTGTTGTTGTTGTTGTTGTTGTTGTTGTTGTTGTTGTTGTTGTTGTTGTTGTTGTTGTTGTTGTTGTTGTTGTTGTTGTTGTTTTATTTTAAACAATTGTTGTTTTATGTATTATATTATAAATAGTTGTAATATTTTTTGTTTGTTCTTTTAGATATATCGAACTTCCTATTATTGCGGCCGTGGCCCAGTCGTTAGAACGCCTGCTTTATAAGCAGAAGATCCAGGTTCGAAACGAGCTCTGGACATATTATCACATCACGGTAAGAAAAGAGGCGTGAACCTTCTGGTTAAATGCACTTCCACGGTGCTCTGTGACAAGACCGTTAGGTCTTCTTGGAGCACCTAAAAATAATAATAAAAAAAAAAAAATTATTATTATTACGTATAATTTTTCGTTTAAGTTTTGTTCTGTTTTTTTTTTTGTTTTTTTTTTATTTTCATTGACTAAGATGTTTACTTAAAAGTAATACCTTTACTATATATAAATATTCCTTGAAATGTAAAATCTATTTCACAATACATTTGACTTCATTCGATTTTCTTTGTTTAGAAGTTATCTTTCTCAAACATAAAAAAACAGCTATGCGATCTAATAATTAGGCAAATAATTCGCATTACTCAAATTTTAAAATGTAACATTTAGCGTTTAACAAATATAATCATATTACTTAAAGTTATAAATACATATGACTAAAAAAAATGCAATCTTTATAAACCGCTCCTTAAATATACTGACTCAGTGCATTTAAGAAGAGATTTGTAATGCTTGCATTTATTCATTGAAAGAAATGTAACGGGACTTCTTTGCGCCGCATAACGCAAGATAAGTTGTTAAAAATTCGAATTACCATACCAAAAACGGGTGACCAGACTCTGGTCACTGAAAATAAACGACACCAGACTAATCTTGTAATTTATACCCATTTATAGGTCAGTTAAATAGTAATAAAAGTACTGACTTATCTAAAGTTTTAAGACTTTATTTAAATTATATAAAAATAATTTTTAACTTTATAAAAGTTTGCAAAGCCGCGAGTCTTTTACCTGTATTATGCATTTGTTGCTACTGTAGTTTATTTCTTGCTCTTACTTTTTATGAATTATAAACCATATTTAAATTAAAGTTACAAATTATCCGCTCTAAGTTCAAGTCCGCTTTAATCTCTAGTTTAAGTTAAAGTGGTATATTTGCACACAATTGCACATCTCCACTACTAATGCATAAAGTATTTTTTGTATTAAAAATAATATTTGAAAGTCATTAATGTGTTAAACTCATAGTAAAACACGATGTTAAAACTTATAAACTCGCTCCAAGGCAAGAGTGTTATAGACTTGCTTAATTTCAATAACCATATGAATCAGAAAACCTTGCATTTTAAATAAATAATAACAATTTTGAATGTTTAAAATGAGTTATCTACATGACTATTATATTATTTATAGTAGGAATATATATACTATTTGCAGTGGAAAAAAGTCATACAAGTTACATTTTATTGCAGGCTTATATTTTAGTAAACTTTAAGAAAATTTTAACTAGAAAATAACACATTTTATGTTATTTTAGCTGAAGTAAAGTGAAATCAAAAAATGGCACCTAGCTGGAGCAAAATGTTATTTGAAAAAAATGCAGGTTCTAAAAATCTACTAGTGGTATCTTCTGTTGCCATTTCATTAGGAGCAATTATACGTGCATTTACATGGAATAAGAGGACACCACAAGGGTACTTTATTATTTAAACTTTGATTGTTGAGTCATGTATATATTTATAAGTTGTGAATTTTTTTCCTGAGTTAAAAGCATTGCTTTGAAAAAAAATATGATTATTGTTTCTGTTATACTAAAATATAACTTTATTATAGACATACTAGGCACTTATTATCCGCATTGCCCGATGGCAGTGCATATAAACTTAAATTCATTAGAAACCATCCAGTTAAAAAATCTTGAAATTATATATTTTAATTTTAAAAATCCTTTATATATTTATTTAATTTTAGAAGTATTGATATTAAAACTTTGAAATTTTGAGACAGTTTTTAAATTAGGTGGTTTCCAATTAGTTAAAGTTTTTATTATAAGATTGCAAATTTAAATGTGCAAACAAATGACATAAAACACAAAATACACAATAAATGGTCATTCCATATCAAATCACCTAATGGTCCCCAGGCTATCACCTCAGATTTGCTTCAAATTCTGAAAATTTCAGCTTGATTAGCTAAATTGTTCAAAAGTTATGATTGAATCAATATTGACCAAAATTAAAAAAGTTTTAGTATCTGGAACTTACATTTGTTTTTTCACCCAAATATTCTATTTTTGCAGTTATTTTCAACTGATATCATACAGTTTTTTAGTTATTGTACCCCAAAGTCGCTAAAAATTGCAATTTAAAAAAATTTTGGAAACTTTAATGTGCTACTTTTCAATATCTACAGATTGGCAGTGTAAATATTTTGTTACTTATGGTAACCACCTGTGGTAAAAAGCAAAATTATGCATTAAAAGTTAGTTAAACACTTGCAGCAGCAAAATATCACTTGTTAAAATATCACATTTTTTGAAAAAATTTGATAAATTACATTCACTTTGCAGGCATAGAAAATAGCATAGACAGTTAAAATAAGTTATGAAACTTTTTACTGGCAAGGTTCTATATATAGACAATCACCAATAAAAAATTAAAGACCTATACTCTATCATATGACATGATTGTAGGCCTATGACCTGGGTATATTTTTAACTTTTCCTTGAATGAATATACTAAGTTTTCCCTTAAATGATATAATCAGTGACTTAATTCAGTTTGTTTTTTATGAATTGTGAATATTTAATTGTTTTATTTTATGCATATAGTATAATTATAGTGATATAAATTACACATAGTTATAACTTGTGAGTAAAACACTTCAATTGAATTAAGAGTTGGTTGTAAAATCTAAATCTAAAGTTTTAAGAGTTATATTGGATATATATATATATATATATATATATATATATATATATATATATATATATATATATATATATATATATATATATATATATATCAACACGTTTCTCCGCGCAGCGGCCTTGTTCATCAAGGTTTGTGTTTCGGAGTTATAGAGTTGAGAGAGGGTTATAACCACAAATAAGTAGCCTCCTCATCTGTAGTGGCCTTCTCGGCTTTGAGGAGGTGAATTTAATAGAAAAATATATATATATATATATATATATATATATATATATATATATATATATATATATATATATATATATATATATATATATATATATATATATTATATATATATATAGTGGGGTGCAAAAAAAAGTCACACTCAATTTTTTTATAAAAACAACAACAACAAATGTCTAAAACTCGTATAATAAAAGTAATATAGGTCAATTTTGATAAAAATGTTTATAATATAGTTGTATATTACATATGATAAAAAGAAAATTGGATTTGTAAAGTATTTTTGAAGTTAAAGCTGTTTTAGTACTTAATTGGCCATCCTTTATTTCTTATGACTTCCGCGCATCTAGAAGGCATACTATCTACAAATCTTTTTAATAAGTTATTTAGAAAAGCATTCCAACCTGCAAAAAAAATTTGGAACAGATCATCTTCATTTGTTGCCCTACGATCTTGCAATTTTTTATCCAAAATAGACCGAAGGTTTTCTATTGGATTTAAAACAGGAGACTGTACTGGCCAAGACATAACTGGTATCAATTTAGATTCTAGATATCTTTTATTCAACCGTGCTGTATATTTGGGATCATTATCCTGTTGAAAGATGTAGTCACCATTAGCAAAAATTCCTTTTATACTTGGTCCAAGCTGATTAACTAAGATTTTGTGATACAAATGCTGGTCCATGATGCCCTTCATTCGTTAAATTTTCCAACTTTGTGTGCACTAAAACAACCCCAGACATTAATACTTTTGCCATGTTTAATAGTTGCCTTGCACATTTGAGGATTGAATTTTTCCCCAATTAATTTTCAGTGAGATCGACCATTTTAATACAAAACAAACAGAGACTCATCGCTTTAGATAACTTTAGCCCATTGTTCACATGTCCAATCTTTGTGCTCAATGCATCACTTTGTACACTTTTTTTGATTGATTTCACTAACAAAAGGTTTTTTAATTTGCTTTTCAGAAAAAAAAATCACTTGATGCTTTAATCCTGCAAGACATTATCTACTTTGAGGTATTAGTAAGGTTCAAATTTAGTTTTATCTCAGAACGAGTGATTTTACCATTTTTTTTGACAGCGTTAAGAATGTAGCAATCTTCCTTTTTTGAAGTTTTCGGCTTTCTCCCAGATCCAACAGCCCTTTCAGTTTTACCACTCTGTTTATATTTCTTTACCAATCTACTAATAGTTGAGTTTTCTCATTTAAAACCCTTTCCAATGCTTTTGAGAGACTCTCCTTGGTTAACAGCTTCAATAATTCGTCCAATTTCTACATCTTTAAGATGTTTTCTAAATTATTAAATGTGTCCATAATAATCTGTTCTTTAAAGATTTTATTTATATAAATATTAGTTTATATATAAACATACATATTCTGTCCTAAATTTTTTACTGCCACATATAATTTTTTTGGTTTTGCTTGATTATACATTTTATACTTAAAATGAAGAAAAAAAAATTTAGTGTGGCTTTTTTTTTTGCACCTCACTGTATATATATATATATATATATATATATATATATATATATATATATATATATATATATATATATATATATATATATATATATATATATATATATATATATATATATATATATATATATATATATATATATATATATATATATATATATATATATATATATATATATTTCTATGCCTGCAAAGTGAATGTAATTTATCAAATTTTTTCAAAAAATGTGATATTTTAACAAGTGATATTTTGCTGCTGCAAGTGTTTAACTAACTTTTGTTAAATAGACAAAAACTGACATGATTGTGCATCATTAGTTCTTTTTAAATTTATTTTCACGAACTTCTCATTAATATCTTGGTTATCATTACAAATCTCAAGCACAAACTTATGTGCCATTCATCATTGTAAAAGCATGCAATGTATTTACAAGCTTTAAAGTTTAAAGGTTCTTTTTGTACCAATTTAACATTATTCAGCAAACAGGTATACTAAGCAGGTTTGCTAGAGATTCTTTGTAAAAATTTTTTCTCTCTACCTGGTACAAAACTGCCATGCTTGGGGCTGTGCAATTGAAGTGTTTTACACACAAGTTATAACTATCTGTAAATTATATCACTATAATTATATTAAAAATATGAGAGCAACAATTTGATAAATTTTTTTTTTCTATTATTAACTAAATTCATATTCATCGATAAATTTAAAATTTCATACTATAATCTCTTAGCCCCTTAATTTGAGGAGGTCCAAAATTTTGAAAGGTTATAGTTTTTAAATGCTGAGAGGTTATTGTTTGAAATTTTAATTTTATTGATAAAAGGTTAGTTCATTATATTTCAACCAATGTCCTGTGATGCCAAAATGAAGTTAACTGTAGTATTTTTCTATTCATCCACAATTCTTTACAGGTGACTTTTCTGATTAGCTACTACTGCCTGTAATAAATATGCAAAATATAAGCAGTTGTTGCAGTTTAAAACTCAAATATGCCTAAAAGTATAATGTCCATTCGCCCAAAAAGTCCAATTTCCAGCCATTTCGATATGCTTCTAAATTTTTCTAATATTTTGTTTTGATTAGATTAAGATTAACAGCATACCATGAGATCCAAATATCTAAAATGCAAACATAAATTTGTCATGTTTACACCAAAAATGCCAACATTTTTAAATCAGCCTATTTTTCAATTATCAATAGTTAAATGCATTATTAAAAACCAGTGCCCCTCTAACCTACCTACTGGCCCATGTGAGGGGTGCTGTTTTTATTTTATTTCAATTTTCTGTGTTAAAATTTAATCTTAAATTGAATCTAATTTTTTTTTGTTGGTATATGTTTTTGTAATTAATTATTTCATTGTATATTAAACCAGAGGCAGATCTAGGATTCAGTGGTGGTGGTAAAGGAGAGTTGCCTTAATTGGAACACCTGATAAATAAATGCATATTAACTGAGGATGGCAATCTGTGGAAACATTTATGATTTAATTAACAAAAACAGACAACACTTCTATACTTTTAACCATAACTTTGACTTAATTGATTCTACTGTTATTGGAAATAAATTTTGCTTTTTTCTAGTTTTACAAGAAAAAAGCAAAATATATCCATAATTTTTTTTTTCAAATTAAATGCAAGTGTTCCAATTAAGGGGCTGTTCCAATTAAGGCAATTCTCCCCTGTTTGGAGGTTTACTGTCGGGTAGGTTTGGGAGTGGGTATTTATTTATTTTATTTCTTTTTTCATAATGTATTATTCTCTCAAGTTAAAAATGATAAGTGGGAGATGTACTGTCAATGTTACTTACAAAGGTGTGTAATTATCTTGAAATATACATAAATATTTTAGAACAAACGTTTTTTGATACAATGTAGTGTTAGCAGTATTGGTTTTATATAACTATGTCAGGATTTCTGCTTGTGGTCTGAGTTTTAAAGTTATTGCAGGTGTTGGGTTATATAGGATTTTATTAAGTAATTTTGTATTTGTTTTATCAATAAGCTTTTCGATATTGTGACAGATATTGAATTAATATGAATTTATTGAATCAATCTCAATAACTTTGAGTATCCCCTCCTGTGTTAGATGTAAAGGGGGATTGCTTTTCTAAAAAATATTTGTAAATACAAGATAATCATTTTTGTACTATAGACAAGATTTTTGTGGCACTTTTTCATATGAAACATTATGTCATCATAATAAAATCAAATAGCATTGGGTTATCTGTATTTTCAAGGATGACCTTTGCATGGGTATTTGGTGCATGACAGTTCCAAAACAACTTGGATTGCAGTTTTTCCAATTATTTTGATCATTTACTTTAATGTGTATAAAAACTGCATTATATAAAACAGCCATATAAATTATAAATTATAAAATAGGTTTATTTATACCAGTTGATTACAAATTAATAAACACGAGTTTACAAGTTCATTAACACCAGTTTAAAGTTGATTAACGCCAGTTGACTACAATCTACTAGTCCATAAACAAAGTGGACTACATTTAGCTTATAAATATACATACAAACACCAGTTGATTGCTGGTTTATGAAACACAGAGTACTTTATTAGAACACTAAATTCAATTTACATGTGCTAAAGACAAAATGATTGATAACCATTAGGGTAGTTCATTAAAAAAAATTTGACTTTAAATAGTGATAATTTGTTGCTCCTGGATAATATAAGGTAGATAAGAAAAAAATATCTTGATTGTTTTAGTGTCTTTCTTTACGATTAGTCTTAAATTAGCTTATTTTTATATTTTTATGCTTTTTATCATTATTTAATTACTTTTTAATTTGGTTATAAAATTTATTTTTGAATAATGTTAATTGTTGCTCGTAGATGATATAAGTTAAATAGGAAAAAAAAAACTTTTTTTGGTCTTCGTTTGTTGCTAAAAGACCTTAATTTACCATATTTTTGCATCGTTATTAAATTTAGTTAACTTGTTAATTTTTGTTCTAAAATTATTAGATTTTTTTTTTGAATTGTGATAAATTGTTGCCATTGAACGATCTAAGGAAAATAGAGTAGTAATCAAGCTTTTTTTTGGCTTTTTTGTTCTGTTGGGGACTTATATTGTGTGTTTTCAGGCTTTTTATTGGTAATCAATTATTAATTTGATCATAAGTTTTTCAAAATAAAACTATGACTGGATTTATTAACCATTTCTTAATTATCTATTCAGTAATTCTAGCTAGCACTTTTTGAAATTATTATTTATAATTATTTGACCTATTTAGGCATTTTTAGGCATTTTTATCATTTTAAATTGCAACATTGGGAAACACTTAGGGAAGTACTTGCAAACTATCATGAGATTGTGCCCCATGGAGGCAAAACACTTGTGGCACTTAATTCAATTCTCTCGCTTCCTTTCCTAAAGTGATTGACTTACAGCTGATAAATGTATTCAATGAAATGCATATTATGATCACCCATAAAATATTTTGATATCAATATTGATTGATGAATGAAAAGAAATAAAAGAATTAGCAGCTAAAAATTAAATTTCCAAGGCGATGCATAATTTTAATTTTCCAGATGTGAGAAAATTCAAAATTCTTCTTTGTAAACTTTGATACATTTGATTACCATAGTCTTGTAAATTGGAAAGAACTTCGATGGACTCAACCATATTAGTTAAAACAGTTAAAAGATGATTTTCCATGCTTATTCCATTCTTAAAATGTAGAAAGTCATGCTAAATTGGTTACAGAAGGAGCCACAGCTGCAGGCCTTCTTGTAAGAGGCGTGCGATCGCACGCCTTATATGACCACGCATAAAGTTCTTTGTTTTAACAACTTGAAAACGGCTCTTTGCAAGTTTTGATAATTAGCGCGTTAAAAAAATGCATTAAAAAAAACAACAAAGCAAATCAAAATTAAAATAAACAATCCATAAACTGAAAAGAGAATAAAATCCTTAAAATAATATATAATACAAAAATTAACCTAAAAAAATAAAATATTCAAAGAATGATAAAATAAATAAAGGAAAAACCAGAAAAAAAAATCAAAACATTTATTAATTAATGAATACAGGGTGCGACAAATCGACAAATATGCATGCATTTCTTAAAAGACAGACAGAAAAACTAACATCACGTATCTTTAATTTTGCAAAAGCAAAATTAAAGAAACAAAATTATAGTTGCCATTTGATTAGGATTTTTCAAAATGAAAGTATTACTTCAGCAAATTTTTTCAAAATAATTTTGCGATTATTAGTTTTTTATTTATTATAAAAAACACATATTTAATATGAAAAACAATTAATTTCACAGACTTAAATTAATGCCAAAACATAAGTACTTTTTTCAATAGTGTCACTTTTAAGTAAAATAAGTAAATACGCTATAGAAAAAAATAAATATGTTTTAGCATGGTTTTTGCATGCAGTCACAAAAGCATACATAATTTTACTTAAAATGAATGCTTTTGCAAAAACTTCAAAAGAAACCATGCTCAAACATTTCGATTGCTTTCTTTTATTGAGAAAAGCGGTCATAACGTTTAACGATGGTTTCTTATGTTTTTAGCAATTACATTAAAAGTTTAAAACAAATGTATTTAATATAAATAAAGTTTAGCATGCTTTTTTTAATATTTTCTTATTTTCTTTAAAGTGAAATAATCTTTGTTTGCATATTAAAACTTTTGCACTTTTAAAAGTTTTTTTTGTGTGCATTTATCATTAATTTGCGCACACAAATGTGTAAAAAAAGGTTTTTGAAAAAAATTGAATAAATTTACCAAGCATCTTTGATATACATAATAACTTATTAACTAGAATAAAAATTGTTTGAATTTTATTTGACATAAATCTCTTAAATTAGATGTTCGTCAATAAATAAAGATACGCAAGTGATGTTCATTAAAAAAAAAAGATATGTCACGCCCTGGGATAAAAATAGTTGGCTGTTTAATTTTTCAAAATTTCCTGAGTACTTCAATGATTGCCTTTAATTAAGTTGCATTGAAGTACTCAGGAAATTTTGTTGGAGTTGTAATTAAATTCAAAATTTGTTTTTTTTTAACACATTTTTTAAGCGCGCTAATTATCAATACTTGCAAAGAGCCGTGGTCAAGTTGTTAAAACAAAGAACTATATTCGTGGTCATATAAGGCATGCGATCGCACGCCTCTTACGAGAAGGACTGCAGCCATATCTGGAGAAATGAGAAGAAATGGATACATTAAAGCAAAACTTTTATCAAAAAATATATTTCACACTTAGCTTCAAAAAATAGTTGGAGTATGTAGGAATAATTGATCATTAAACTCCTTTTTTTCATAAAACTTCTTTTAATAGGTACAATAAAAAGTACATATAAAATGCATTTAAAATTTTTTTTTATGGTCATAAGAAATGATTAGGCTAATTATTCTAGTGCAAATGTAATCGTGCTACTGCATGAAATTTTGAGTTTTAAATCATGCTACTGCATAAAATTTTGAGTTTTGAAGGTGTGACCAGTAAACAACAAAATTATTGCATTTTTTGTACAGCAGATATTTTTACGTAGAATATATTGTAATATCAAAAATTATTTATAATAATAATAATAATAATAATAATATTTCTTTTGCTATTTCACCAAACAACTTTTGTAGTCTATTTTGTTTGTTACATAAACATGAGAGGAAGTTTTTTAATATGTGAAACTAGTTCACTAGTTTTTACTGTACATTTTAGAAACCTGCTATAAAACAAATGAATAGCTTTTAAACCTTGGGATAATGCAGATCCTGTAGTGACTTTAGATAGCAGAAGTGCAGTAACAGAATGGTTATAAAACACCATCCAAGTAAGGGAATCATATAACTCCCTTAAGTAGTCTGCAATATTAAGTTCTTCCAAATCTGTGATAACTAATTTGATATCTTAATATGCCATTCCCAAATATTTTGTTTATATCTCCTTTTTTATTTAAAAAAACATGAATAAAATATGCCATAGCATTTCAAATATAGACTATTTAATTAAGTTTAAAAAAGTTTTAATTCAAACCACCACAACACACTCATTTGAGTAAAAAAAAAGCATATCTGGTGGGGGTTATGCATCACCCACATTACCCCCTGTATCATTGCCTGTATTAAACAAAGGCTATAAATAAAGATTTGTTTATGTAAGAATGGTAATGAAAAAGTAATTTTTCTTTTTAAAGCAAAAGTAGGAGATCAAATGCAAAATAAATTTTTTTTTTCTTTTTTAACTATAGTTTAAATACTATAACAAAGTTTTTTGCTAAATTTAGGAATATATAATTTTAATTGCTTTCTAATTATATAAATTATTCTTTTATTTACAGGAAAATTGGATATTCAAGTTTAAAGTTACCAGAAGAGGTATTTTATTTGTTTTGATTTTTTATATCCGTTTATAGTAGTTTATATTAAAATTTAAAATAGCTCAATTTATATTAAAATTTAAACTATATATATTAAAATTTATATTAAAATTTAAAATAGCTTAAGGTAAATAAATTAATGTCTTTAAGATAAATAAGTAAACATTAAAATAAATTAATTAGATAAAATAAAATAAATTAGTTAAAATCTCTTTATATTATTGCTGAACTTAATAGTTTCAGTAGTAGCAGTAGTAGTAGTAGTAGTTTTAGTAGTAGTAATAGAAGAACACCTTCAAGTGTGTTTGAACTTTTGGAAGCCATTGTAATCTAAGTAGTGGCAAAAAAGAGCAGCGCTTTTTGTTATTAGAAAATGTGAACAAAAGTGTAAGCAAATATCTAACTTACGTTAACTTCAAATTATGTAATATTAAAACATACTGAAACATATGTTGACCACATGGGTAAAACCACAAATGTCACATTTTTCTCATTTTGAGAAAAATGAAGTTTAGTGTTTAGTGACATATCTGTTAGTGTTTGTTCTGTTAGTTACTGTTAGTTCTGTTAGTATTGACATATCTGTTAGTGTTTAGTGACACATCTGTTTATTAAAAATTTATTTAATTAAAAGTATATTTTTCTAATATTTTAGTCCTTATACAATATAAACACGCAGTTTTTGTGCTAAATATACAAGTATTGTTTATTCACAGTGTTCTTTTGAAAACAAGACACTCATTTTGTACATCTGTGGTTTTTCTATTGTAAACTCATCAACTCATAAATTACGTTAGCTTGTAACCTTTTACTTATTTTTTTAGAGATAGATGGTAACACATTGTAATATACAACTACAACATACTAAGTGTGTTATGGGATAATAAAGCCATCCCCCCCCCCTCTTTTAATAAAAAAAATTCAAACAAAATATTATATGGAAGTTTTTTTAACTTTATATAAAATAGCATTGCAACCTTTTCTCTTCCCCAACCTCATCTATTTACCACAGATGATTGCATAATGTCTGTGTTCCATCATTCCATATCAAGTTTGTACAAAACCATACAAAAACCAACGTTATTAAAAATATTTTGTTTTTAATTGCAAAGAAAAATAAAATAAATTAAAAAAAAAGAAGATAAAATAAGATAAAATAATGTCTTATTTTATCCATTCAAAAAATGTTTAGCTTTAGTAAGCCTTTAAATTTTTAACAAAAAAAGGCAACACTGCTATGTATGCTTGTTTCAGTTTATCAGTTACTTCAATCATTGATCTAAACATGGGATGTAACACACAAAATTAAATATTTCCATTTTTCCATATAATTAAATTTTAACTTTTAATATTTCATAACCTTTAATATTTCAATTTCTCTAAGTGAACATGTATAAATGAACAAACAACCAAGAAGTTTGGCTTTGAAACTCTGCAAATTTCAGAAGTTTTTGTTTATGTTTATATATAATATTGAATTGTTATGGTTTTTTGTGAGATCATCTAGTGTTTCTGCAAGAAACTTTTGATTTGCAATTGTCAATGTTTCTGTCACATTTTTTAGACGTGTAATGCATATACATATGTGGCGGAGTTCTAATTGGTAATGAAACAGTAATGCTGTCAAGTTTTTCAGTTTTATAAACTAGTTAATAAAATGAAATTGAAAGTATATTAATGTTAAAACAGGTATTGCCTGGAATAGTATACATATTGGTTTCAAACGTTTAGGCATTTTTTTTTTTTTGAAATCTAAGCAAATTACTTCGCAATTAAAAATATCAAAATCAGAATATTATTGAGTCCATTTTCTACTATTTTAGGATACAAAAGGTACACCTTATGGATTAAAATGAAAGTTGAAATAATTCAAGAAAAATTTTTTGTCATTATAGAAAAAAACTTACTAACATTGGACAACAGTGGTTGTTTCAAAGTTGTCCTTTTTTTTAAATGACCATAAAACCTTAAAAAATAGTTTTTTTGTTATGAATTTTTAAATTAATATAGCTTAGTACTAAAATATCATAAAAATATATAAAAGTTGAAGTTTTCAAAAAGTGGACATCTGTGATTTTACCCATGTGGTCTTCATATATCAACTTTTAAAGTTTTACTCTCGTTTGAAAATTGCATTGCGGCAACATTGCAGCAATCTCCTTAATTTTAATCTATAGTGTTTTATAAAGTTTTTTATTCATTATATAGTTTTTAAATTTTCGTTAATCAACATGCCAGCGTTGCTGAGTGGTTAGTTCACAGAGTTTCTGAATGAAAAAGCCATGGTTCGAATCCACTGGCAATGTTTTGTACTGCTACTCCAGAGGGTGCTGCTGTGAAAGCAAAAAAAAAAAAAAAAGAATCCTAGAAGCTAGAAAAAACTTTAAGTTTTATTTTAACAATTAAAAGTATATAATATAGCTTTTTAGCTATATTTATTTATTTACAATATATATATTTATCTAAATATATATATTGTGTCAAGGGGCTGATTTAAACCCTCGCAAAATGGCACCAATGACAGTGCATTAACCCGCTGATCTATCAAGTTTATGCATGTAATTGAAAAACAAACCATTTTATAAATTATTATACCGATTGCAATTAATCAACACTTTTCAAGTTTTTAAAGCAAATTAAATAAGTGCAGCTTTATTGCATCTAATATAACATATGATAATAAACAGATGTGGTTAAATGCAAATCGATTTATATAATGTTTTATACAGGATTGTGTGTAATATTAGAAAACTTCTCTAATAAATAAGTCTTTTTGGTCTAAACTGTTTTATTTTGAATTTTTGTATTTATGTTATTGTATTTAAAAAAATTGACAAGATTGAAAAATTTTTTGTAAATCGGTAAAACTTATTTTTTTTTTTGCGAATGTGATGTCACTTGGTGGCAAAAAGTTAAAAAAGCAAACAAACTAGACTTAAGATTTTGTTTAATTTTTTTAGAAAAATTCCTTTTATTAAAAATGTATATGTTGTTTCTTTAAAACCATCATCATAAAAACTCTTATCCGTGAAATGATATATCTGTACCAGTTTTGTATCTTTTTGTGTAATTGTACCATTATCAAAATTAATCAAAAAATGTAAGATAAATGCAAAGGCAAACTTGAATTTAAGATAAATGCAAAAGCAAGCTTGAAATTTTTTTTGCCAAAAATTGATGTCACTGTGCAAAATTTTTTTGGTTTAACTTTAAGATTAGCATTTTATAGTTAAGGCTGTGTCTATAGTTTTTAATGGTCTCAGATCTTTATAGTTCTGCCATTTGTATAGCATTATGTAGACGACAGCGCACTAAACCACTGAGCTATTAATAATATATGTTTAGGAGAAAAACAAACCTAATAATAAATCTCTTATAAGCTCTACATATGCAGAAAAAGTGCGCATGTTAAATTTTTTGCTCTTTAAGCATATTTTCAGAATGAATTATTGAAGTAAATATGGAATAGGTTTAGAAATGATCGGTGTAGAATAGTTAAGTATAGAAATGGTAGGTTTGGTAAAGTCCTGTATTTAACAGGGCCGGTAAGCTAGGGTATATCAATCCTTGTTTTAAATAAAGAACAGCGTATCCCATTAGCATTAGTTGTGATTTTGACTTTATTTGACTTTAAAATTATCTTTATTTGTTTTTTTATTTAAAGACATTTACTTTTTTAAACTATCCCAATAAAATGAATTACCGCAAAAGAAGTTTATTTTACTCTATATATGTTATTTTACTCTTTTAAGTCTAGTATTTTGTAAATGTACATAATGTAGAATGTCTATTTTGTTAAAAATTTTTTTTTAATTTTAAATAATTAAATTTACTATTACCAAGCCTTCCCAGAAAAGCGTGTGGTCGCACACCTTATTTGTCCATGTTTAAAGTAATATTTTTAGACACACTGACCACGACAGTTTGCATCTTTTAACTTATAAAGCATTTTAATAATTTGCAGCAAAAAAACTTTTCTATTGAGAAAGAAAAAAATCCTTAAAAAAGGAAACAAAATATCAAGTTTAATTAAATAAACTGAAGAACTTAATAATTAAAAAAATAAAATAAAAAAAAAACATTTTTTTAATAAAATTTTTATACAACTTTTGTATTCTTTTTTTATAGTTTTTTATAGTGATTGTTGTTTTTAGCTACTGAATTTTATACAAGTTAATGAAAAAAACATATTATCTTTTACAACAATTTAACAACAATTGAAACTTTTGATATGCAATTTATTAACGGTTTTTATCAGTCAGTATAATTAACAAACTAATTTGCTATGTACACTAGAACTATGAGAAATTTTGTTAATTGTTTTTCTTACGTTTATTTGTTTTAATGTTTTTTCACTTTTAAAAATGTTTTTGCTGTATTTGATGTTTTTTCTTTATTAAGTATGAAGACTGCCTATCTATAGTTATGTTGCATTTGTAGCAAAATGTTTTACTATATAGGAATTTAAACAGATAGGTAATTCCATGTCAATTGACCCAGGCCATATCACCATACATCTCAGATTTTTCTGTTTTATACAATTGAGAGTACGTAATAAAATAATAATTAAAGGTATATAAAAAATTGCCTAAACTTATTTAAATTGCTATTTACAGGTACTTAATAATAATTGTTTTAATTTCTGATCATTAATTGGATTCGTCACCCCTAAAAATAGCCTGATACAGTTAGTAAAAAGATCAAATATTTTTTAAAGTTATATGATTTGAAATCTATGAATAAACATTGCGATTCTGAAGGAACAAGATATCTACTAAAATGATCATATTTCAGGAACTTTTTGGAGCAAGTGGCTAAAATTTAAAGGAATTCTTATTTTACTATGTACTCTTAACTGTAGTAAATGACTGGGGTTGATTTTTGACCAGGGCCGGGTTTGAAAAAAAATATAGCTGGGGCAGGGGCTGTGTTTATGACCAGGGCTGTGATTGTGACCATGGCTACATAAACATTTATACATCCTAAAGTATATTTTTT